GAGAGAGAGAGAGAGAGAGAGAGAGAGAGAGAGAGAGAGAGAGAGAAAGAGATGTGTTAAAATGACCATATAAAAAGCAAAAAATATTAATAACCTATTGTAGGCTTTGTAACAATGTACACAGAAATAAAATATATAGCAACAAGAGGAAAAAGAATAGGAGGGATGTCTTAGTCCACTTGTGCTGCTGCAACAAAATACCTGAGATTGGGTGATTTATAAAAAATTTATTTTCTCACAGATCTAGAGGCTGGGAAGTTTACATGAAGGCACCAGCAGGTCTGGTGTCTGGTGAGGGCTGCTCTCTGCTTCCAGGATGGTGCCTTGATGCTTCATTCTCCAGAGGGAAGGAACACTGTGTCCTCACATGGTAGAAGGCAGATGGGCAACTGAGAGACAAATGCTGCATAAGTCATAAGAGCCTTAACCCCACTGACAAAGGAAGAGCCCACATGGCCTAATCACCTCTTAATGGCCCCAGTTTTTAATGCTAACACAATTGACCACTAAGTTTCAGCACCTGAACTTTAGAGGAGACACATTCAAGCCATAACGAGAAGTAAATGAAATATGTTGTTGTAAGTGTCTTAAATTATTTTTGAAGTAATATATTATTTGTATATACACTGTGCATAATTTTAGAGTATCCTAAAAAAAATGAACAGAATTTTAACTTTAAAAAATCAATGGAGAACATAAAATGGAATACTAATTAAACATGGCACTAATCCAAAAGGAGGCCAGAAAATAGGAATGTAAATATTTTTTCAAAGACAAGACAAATAGAAAACAAATATCAAGATAGAACACTTAAATGAAGCATATCAACAGTTACATTAAATGTAAATGGTCTAAACATTCTAATTAAAAAGTAGAGACTGTCTGAGTAAATATAAAAGCAAGAACCAACAATGTGCTTTTTCTAAGAAACACACTTTAAATAAACAGAACCAGAGAAGTTGTAAGTAAATGTATGGAAAGGATATGCCATGGAAACACTAAGAATAAGAAAGTTGGTGTGGCTATATCAATATCAAAAAAGTAGATATCAAGTAAAAGAGTATTACTAGAGATAAGAAGTGGATAAGATGGAACATTTTGTTATGATAATAAGCCAATTAACCATGAAGACTTAAAATACTAAACGTGTATGCACCTAATAATAGGAATTATAAATACACAAAGCACAAATTAACAGAATTAAAGGGAGAAATAGACAATTCTGTAATCATAGATACAGATTTTAATGTCCTTCTCTCAGTAGTTGACAGAACTAGTAGACAAAAACAACCAACCAAACAAACAAATAAACAAAGGATATAGATTTAAACAACACTATCAAACAATTTGACTTAATTGACATTAATAGAACACTACACTCAAGAATAGCATAATACACATTCTTTTTACATGAACATGGAATGTTCAACAAGATAGACAACAGGCTGGACCATAAGGCATGCCTCAATAAATTTAAATCCATTCAAATAATATGGAATATGTTTTCTGACCACAATGGAATTATATTAGAAATTGATAACAATTAGATACTTAGAAAATCCTCATATTTGGAAGTGAGGCAATATGTGTCTAAATAATTAATGGCTTGAAGAAGAAATCATATGGAAAATCAGAAAATAATTTGACCTGAATGACAATAAAAGCATAGCATGCAAAATTATTAGAATGTTGAAGAAGAAACAGATACAGGAACAAATAGGAAATCTGAATAGATTACATATCTGTCAAAGAAACTGAATTCTTTATCAAACCCCTTCCCGCAAAGACATCTCCAGACTCAAATGACTTCCTTAGTGAATTCCACCAGACATTTAAGGAAGAAATATCACCAATTTTACACAAACATTTTCAGGAAACAGAGGAAAAGGGAACACTTTCCAACTTATTCTATGAGGCCAGCATAACCCTGGCTCTAAATTTGATAAAGATGTTACAAGAAAAGAAAATTACAAACCAATTTTTTTCATGAATATAGAAGCATAAATGCTTAATGAAATATTATAAATTGAGTCACAAAATACATAAAATGAATACTAACTTATGACCATATAGGGTTTATCTCAGGTATGCAAGGTTAGTTTAATATCAAAAAAATTAACCAATATAATTCACCACATTAACAAAATAAGAACAATGATATAATCATATTAATAGATGCAGAAAAAGGATTTAGCAGAATTCAATACCCATCTATGATTTAAAAAAATCTCAGTGTACTAGGAATGAAAAGGAACTTCCTCAATCCGATAAAGTGCATCTATGAAAAGCCTACAGATAACATCGTATTGAACGGTGACGTCGTGAATACTTTCCTCACGACTGGGTTCCGTGGGAGGGTGGACGCCCTCACCACTTGTATTCAGCATTGTTCTGCAGGTTTTAGTGCAATAAGAAAAAGAGAAAGAAAAGGTATTGAGATTTAAAAAAGGAAGTAAAACTCTTGTTACTCACAGATGATGTGATTATATACGAGGGCACTTCAGAAAGTTCATGGAAAGATCCATATTATCTTCCAACTATATTTTCCACAAAATTTTTGAAGTCCCCTCATACATGTAAAACTCTAGTAGTTATAAGCAAACTTGTCAAGATCGCATGATTCAAAGTAAATATACGAAATTGTATTTTTATAGGCTGGAGATGAGCAATAGGAAAATGAATTCAAACGGTAATGTGATATACAGCATTAGAGCTAGGCGTGAATCTTATCAAGGATGTGAAAGACCTCTACACTGAAAATTCAAAATATGCCCGAGGGAAATGAAGAAAGAGATGGAAAGAGAAACCACAGTCATGGGCAGAAAACTCCATATAGTTAAGATGTCAAGGTTCTTCAAATGGATCTATAAATTCATTGCAATCCTAATCAAGATCCTAGCTGGCTTGTTTTGAGGGGGAGGGGTAGAAATTGACAATCTGATTCTAAAATGTGGACGGACATGCAAAGGATTTAGAACAGCCAAAATGACACTGAAGAAAGAGCAACGCGGGAGCACTCACGGTGTTCGATTTCAAGGCTTACTAAAAAGCTATGGTAATCAAGACAGCGTGGTTTCAGTGAAAGAATGAATAAATAGAGTGATTTGTACAGACCACTGAGTCCCACATATATGATCCATTTTCTTCAACAAGTTGCCAAGGTAATTTAAGGGGGAAAGGAAAGTCTTCAAAAAATAGTGCTGGAACAACTGGATATTAGTGTGAAAGATAATGCACCTTAACTTCTACTTCCGACCATGCACCTGTGGTTCCCACACTTTCGTGTGCATCAGAATCACCCGCAGGGTTAATTAAAATTCAGATTTTTAGGTCCCACCCACAGAGTTCCTGATTCAGTAGGTCTGAGGTGGGGCCCAAGAATTTACATTTTTAACAAGTCCCCAGGTGAAGCTTATGCTGCCTGTGAGGAGAGCGCACTTGGAGAACCACCGCCACACACAAAGATGAGCTGGAAGTGGATCTCAGACCTAAACGTGAGAGCCAAGTGAAAAGACAGGAGGATGTCTTCATGTCCTTGGGTTAGGCAAAAATTTCTCAGAACCTTTCTAGGTTACTAATCATAAAATTAAAAAAGAAATTGGTAAACTGGACTTTGCTAAAGTTAGAACTTTCTGTCCATCAAAAATATCATTAAGAAAAAGTATAGGCGAGCTACAAACTTGGGAAAATATTTACAGTATACCTATAGGACAAAGTACTTTATCCACGGTACACGAACTCCTATGTATCCATCACCAAAACACGAAAACCCAATAAAAAGCCGGCAAAAGACTTGAACAGACACTTGACAAAATGAAGCATATGAATGACCAATAAGCACATGAAAATGTGCTGAACATCTTTAGTTATCAGGGCAACACAAACTGAAACCTCAGTGACATATAACTTCACACACACAGAACAGCTAAATGTTAAAAACAGACAAAACCAAAGGTTGGCAAGGCCAAGGAGAAACTGGAACTCTGCTACCCTGCTGGCAGCAGAGGGAAATGACACAGCCACTTTGGAAAACTGCTTGGTAGTTTCTTGTAAAGTTCAACACATACCTGTTTTGCTCACATGTTTTTACTCTTGAAAAATGAAAATATTTGTATATGAATTTGCACATGAAGTTTCGTAGCAGCACTGTTCACTGTAGCCCTGCATTGAAAACAATGCACAAGTCCAGCACAGGCGAATAAGTAAGCAAACGCGGTGTTCATGCCATGGAATATGACTATGCACTAAAAAAGAAAGAGCTGCTGATACACTTAACAACAAGATGAATTGCAAAGACGTGTTGAGGGAGAGAAGCTGGACACCAAAGAGTCCAGACTGTATGGCTTCTGCCTTTCCAAGAAGTTCTAAGGCAGGTGACAGCAGCCCACGGTGGTGCTGCAGATCGGGACAGAGGCTGCCCGGGGGCTGGGCTGATGGAATGCTCTGTATCTCAAGCGTGGTGGAGGCCACACAGGTGCATACGACTGTCAAAACTCACTGAACTGTGCACTGACGTACTGACGGTCAATTACACTTCAATAAAAAATAGAGGGAAAAGATGACAAAAGAAAAAAAAAAAAAAGGACAGGGCAGGGACAGGACAGAGTCTGCAAATGGAAAGAGGTCATACTGTTCCAAATGTGGCGGGGCTGTGGGGTCTGAATGCTGCGGGGGCCCTGAGGCTCAGCAGGGATGGGGTTTTCCATGCAGACGAGCAAAGTGGGACGGGAAAACCCAAGCTGCTTCAGTTTCACGCCGCACTGAGTCGCACCCTCCACAAAAGGCAGAGGGGTGGGAAGGAACTAGTGGGGGTGCGGGCCAGGGAGAAACGAGACAAAGCAGGGAGCAAATCCCTGTGAGGGCCGCGTGTGCAGGAGCCGCTGGGCCGAGGCCTGGGGTCGTCTGAGGAGGGCGGAACCCTGACCCTGGACATGGAGGATGGGCCAGACGTACATCTTCTTCACGTACCCCTCTGCTGCCTGTGCCCCTGGCCCCGGGAAGCTGGATTTGGAATCAAGCCAAGTCAGTTGGCACCCGTCAGAAAGTGCTGGCATCCTGAGCCCACACAACTTCCAAAGGCACAGTGAGCAACACATGACCTGTGACCCGTCCACAGCTCAGGGCAGCAGGAGTCTGCACAGATGTCCTCACCTGGCCCACCTGCTCCCGGAGCTGGGCCCTCTCGCTCTCCAGCAGGGCTGCCTGCCCCTCCAGCTGCTCCTGCCGCTTCTCCAGGCTCCGGCAGGCCTGCTGCAGGCCCCTCCGCTCCGCCCGCATGCACTCCAGCTGATGCTCCGCCCGTGCCAGCTGCTCCCGGGCACCGGCCTGCTCCTGCTCTAGCACCTTCTGCTGCTCCTGCAGCTGATCCCGCTCCTGTTCCAGCTGACGTGTGGAGGGGAGGGGTGGTTTCTGCATCCAGCCCACACACTACCCACCTTCAGCCCCCGTGGGCTGGCCCCCCAGCCAGGCCTTTCCCAGTGGGCACTGCCTGCTCACCCCTGGGTCTGGCCAGGGCTGCTCAGGCTCCCTCATCCTCTCCCCAAAACATGCTCTCAGGGAGGGTGGGACACATCCAGGAGTGGACGGATGAAAGGGAGACCCCAGGGCCAGTGTGGAGTCTCGCAGCCACCCTGGGGGATCTGAGGCTCAGGGCGAGGCCTGCCCACCTGGCCTTCGCCTCACCTGGAGGACCAGGTGGTTCAGGCTGCTTTTGTCCTGAGCCAGTCCTTCCATCAGGGTGGCCATCGTGGCCAGGGCGTCCCTTTGCTCCACCCCCTCCGACTTCAGCTGCGACACAAGCAGCTCCAGGTCAGTGTTGCTGGACTTGACCTGCGGTAGGGAAGGGGGGCAGAGGCCACCCCAAGGGGATGCCAGTGAAGGACTTGCAGATTCCTGGGAAGGGAGTGAGCCCCACATTGTGGAGGTGTGCGAGCCAGAGCCCTGGGTGGGACATGGGGGAAGGATTCCCACCAGGGGAGGCCTCTGGGTACAGGTGGCCCTGGGTGCTGAGGCTCCAGCCAGAAGAGGAGACCAGAGGCCAGGGAGAGACCACTTAGAAGCACCCCTGACTTAGGAGCAGTCAGGGGTGAGGCCGGTGCTCACTGGTTGGGGACGGGGAGGCCCTCGGGGGCGGCGGGAGCTCTGGCAGAGGGCTGAGGGCCCGGGCAGGCGAGCAGCGAGGGCTGCGGGAGGTGAGGCCAGGGTGGGCCGGGGCGGATGGCCCAGAGAGGGCACGGAGGCATACCCGGGCCAGGGCCCCGCGCAGACTCTCCCTCTCGCCCTCCACGACGTCCCTCTGCAGCCGTGCTGCGCTCAGCGCCTCCCTGGCCGACACCAGCTCCTTCCTGAGCCCTGAGAACTTCTCCTCCAGCTGCTCCAGGCGCCCTTGACTGATGCCCCGAGTGCAGAGGGCAGAAGGCGTGAGGTCACCTCAGGGCAAGCTGGGGCTGTTCCACAAGATTCGCTGGCCCAGGGAGCCCCAAGAGGAGCATGACATCCCGGGAGGGCCGCCCTGGGCTGTGGGGCTGCGGCCTCGTTTCTGGGCTGGAGGCGGGATGGTGCTCTCTGTGGACAGCCTGGGCGAGTTGCATGTGCATGGGTGGGCACACATGCTGGGGGCACCCTCTCTGCTGGGCCCACAGGGTGCCATTGGCAGGGACAGGGCACCCGGCCCACACTGGAGTGGGAGTCTGGGTCTGGGGGTGATGGCTCGGACTGCGGAGGGGCCTGGAGAGCCCTTTGCCCTGCTGCCTCCTCAGGTCCACCGAACCCCAGGGGACGAGATGGTGAGGAAACTGTCCCACTTAGTGGATGAGGACACTGAGGCCCAGGGAGGGGACACGACGGCCTGAGGCATGCAGCCTCTCCTGCGAGGGACCCCTGCCTGCCCCGTCAGGCCCACGCCTGCTGGCAGTCCCCCTGCCAGCCCACCTGTTCTCCAGCTCCCTGAGGCCCCACTGGCCCTGCAGCTCCAGCCCTGCCTTCTGCTCCGCCCACAGCAGGAGGCTGCTCTGCAGTTCCCAGTTCACGGCCTCCAGCCGCTGCTTCTCCGCATCCGAAATGTCCGCCTTCCCTCTCAGCTCCTCCACCACCATCTCCAGAGCTGCCTTCTCCCTGGGAGCAGATGGTCAGAGGTCAGGGTGGCCCCAGGACACATGGGGGAAGGAGGAGCCTGAACTGATCCACTGGCGTCTCTGTCCCCCCACCCCCGCACCTCTCAAGGTCAGGATCGTCTGTGTCCTGCCCCAGCACCCAGCACGCTGCAGCCCCCTTAGAGGAGCAACCAGGAAGGGCCCGTGGGGGTGAGACAGGGTGGGGCGTCGACTCTGCTCCCAAGCAGGGAAGCTTTTCTGACCTGCCGACCCACACCTGGGCCACATCCAACCTGCTTCCCAGAGCCACGTATGGATTTGGTTTCGGGAAGCCCTGCAGAGCCTCTCAGTCAAGATTCAAATAGGTCCTGGGGCTTCATGCCACACGCTCCTCAGTCCCACCACCCAGGGTGGACAGAGGGGTGGGTGGGTGAGAGGAGGTGGCCCAGCCAAGAGCACTTTTGTCTGGGAGGTGTGGCCCTTTCCTACCACTGCCTCGCCCTGGGGCTGCCCCTGCCTGGCCCCACCCTGCTGGCTCCGGCCTGGGCTCCCGTCACCTTCCCAAGAGCTTGGCTGATGCCTGGCAGCGCTGCGCCTCGCGCCTCTGAGCCTCCAGCTGGCCCAGGAAGTCCTCGCGCTCCCGAGCCTGCTCCTGCACCTGCTCCTGCAGGAGCCTCTGCGAGGCCCGCAGCTCCCGCTGGCACTCAGACAGCTGTTCCCGGAGCCTGGCCGCTGCCGCCTGGGCAGACTCCAGCTGCAGGTGCAGCTCCTGCTGAGGGTTGGGGGGCGTGAGCCCCTCAGAAAGGGCCCACGTAAGACCGGAGGCCTCTTCGGGGCTGCGGGGCTCAGGGACAAGTCCCTGGTCTGCTGAGTTTCATGGTTCTGCCCCCGTGGGAGACCAGAGTGCATCTCTGCCTTGGTGCCCCATGGGCTGTTGCCACCCACCTGTTCCCGCTGCTGCCGCCTCTCAATAGCTGCCCACACGGCCTGCATTGCGGGGTCCAGGGCATCTGGTGAGCGGGCCCATGGTGGGGACAGCCCCTGGTGCAGGGACGTGGCCCGCGGGGGGCTCTTCAGGCAGGTCTGTGCTTCCTTACCCTCAGAGCTGCTGCTCCACACCAGCTCTGGGCACACAGTGTCTGCCTGGGCCACCTTCAAGGTGCAGAGAGGAGGGATGGAGGGGAGAGAGCACAGAGCTGTGACTGACCGGGGGCCTGTGAGGCCCTGCAGGGCTTCTCTGCCTTTACCACCAGATGGCGGAAGACGGGCCACACCTTTGTGATGCTGGTCAAAAGGCGCTGCAGGGATTCGACTTTGCTCCTCAAGTCGTCCACCAGCAGCTGGTTTCCGCTGCATCGGGATTCCTGCAGCCAGGGAGACCCCTCAGTGAGGCTGACAGACACCTGCCACTGCACAGCCAGCCCGCTCCCCAGCCCCACCGACCAGCTTCTGAACGTCCATGCCGAGGGAAGCGATGGTTCTGTCCTTCTGCTTGTTTTGCTCCATGAGCTTCTCCACCAGCAGTGTTTGCTCGGACAGTCTGGGGAGAAGTTGGTGGGCGATGTGTT